AGGCAGACTGGCCAGAACAGGGCACTGCAGTGACTTCAGTCACATATTCCGCTCTCAAGTGGGACTGGTGGGGAGTGCTTGACCTGGGTGACGCCACAGACTGAGGCCCAGTAGGCTAGCCCAAACCAAGTTCCTGTGCCTGGCAGTGCAACCTATTGCAGTGAAGCCTTCTGTAGGTTGACCTGGAGGGGCAGGCCCAGGATAGGCTGTGGGATCTGTACCTCCTAGTACACTTCAGTGGGTGGGAACCTAGTCAGCATTCCGCAGACAAACTGAAACCAACAAAGAAAGAAACTGGGCCTTCTATATATGCCTTTATGAAAGGAACAAAAATATGAGAAGAGGAGGCAGCAAGAAAGGGCCCTCGGTCCCCAATCTTGAGAACATTGATCCAGAAAAGGTAAATGCAAAGGAGAATGAGGACAGAAACCATGCAATATCAGACACGGCACTAATAGACATAAAGCAATATCTGAGGGACCTCATAGACGAGTTCAAAAGTGAAGTATTTAACCAAGTAAAGCAAGATATAAGTAGAATAGTTAAAGAAATGCTAAGCACCCCCCAAGAAAAAACAGATGGTAGAATGGAAGAACAAAAAAAAGGGGGAGAATTGTTTGATGGAGAAAATAGAGAAAACATAGAATACATGAAGCAGGTTCAAAGAGATTACCAGGAAACTAAAAACTCTATTGAAAGCTGGCATAATAGCTTGAAAGAAACTAAGGATAGATTATCTGAACTAGAGGGCAGGTTTGTAATGTGGGAGCATGAAAGGAAAAACTTCTTAAAAATAACAAGGAAATAAGCTGTAACAATACAAAGGCTAAAAGATGATAAGAAGACCTATAACTTAAGAATTAAGAATGTAAAGGAAGAAGCAGGGATACAAACAAATGCACTGCAAAGGCTATTCACAAAAATAATCAAGGAGAACTTCCCAAACATAGGAAAAGGTAAAGATACTCAGATGTATGAGGCATACAGGACCCCAGCCACCTACAATCCAAACAGAACTACATGCAGGCATATAATAATCAAAATTCCAGAAATCCAATATAAGAACAGAATACTAAAAGCCATCAGAGACAAGAAACAGATCACTTACAAGGGAATTCCCATCAGAATTACAGCAGACTTCTCGACACAAACCATCAAATCTCAAAGAGAGTGGGGCAAAATAATTCAAGCTTTGAAAGACAATAACCTCCAACCAAGATTGATATATCCTGCACAACTTTCCCTAGAAATTAATGGAGAAACAAGGTGCCTCTACAGTAAAGAGTAACTGGGGGAATTTGCAACCACCAATCCAACTCTACAGAGAATACTGCAGGACATTCTAAAAGAGACAAGTACCAGGATTCCAAAAACAGTGGCAGAGAGGCCACAATGAATGGAGCAGAAAGTGCAATGAAGAAAACAAGCCGACAACTAATGACAGAAAAAGAGCTCAACAGAAATAAGGCAAAGAAAGTTGGATATAATTTCTTTTTTTTTTTTTAATTGGGACAGGGGATCAAACTCACGACCACATGCTTGCAAGGCAGGCGCTTATGCCACTGAGCTAAATCCCCAGCCCAGGTTGGATATAATTTCTAATATAGATGGCCTAGATACACTAACTTAAGGGGGAAAAGAGAGAATTGCAGGCAGAGTGGATCAAGAGATAGGGTCCCCCAGAGGCTCCTTATAGGAAATATAATTAGCCTAAAGAAGGTTATATGGACCAAAATCAAACATGAGAAAACGGAACTCGATGTGATAGGGAACCAGAGAGTAATAGGGGTAACTAGACCAGTACTTATGGATAGGTTGAACAGACAGGCTTTAATAAATGAAGAAATATAACTAGAAATCCAGCCCAGGAGTGAGAAAGTTCAGAAACACTTAGGTAAATAGCAGGTTGCCCCCCCCAATACAAAACTGTGAGTGTTGGGGAGACTCAAAAATACACAGTTCATTCTGGGGGAATAATGGGGAGGAATAGTCCTCAACAAAAAACAGCAGAAGATATAGCTAATAGTGTATCAGGAATTAAAATCTCTATTACTCACACCACTCTGCCTGGTTGGAACTTGTTCCATCCTAGTTTGTATACAAGCACTGGATCTGAGGGGCACAGACAGCTGTCCCAAAGATATCAGGACATAGCACAGTGGTCATTTTAATTTCCTTTAACTCAATCAGGATCCCTGTATGACTTATACTTGTTGTATCATGACTGATCTTAGTTAAATCTGACTTGTTTGATTGCTGCTTATCATTGACAGATTTTATTCAAAACTGTAAGGTTGGTGGTATCAAGTTGAGGGGTATAGACACTATACTGAAAATGACAATGACTCACTAAAATATCCATTCTGATTTGATTATTACCTGTTTTTGTAGCTCTACACTATCTACAAAGTTGTATTTCTGTTATCCTGTTATGTACTGATATGTTCAATTATACTTTATCTGATGATATAGCCAATTCTGTTGATGATAACAAGAAACCGCACAGTGACCCTGGTAGAACTCCTTATACAGCAGATTCATATGTCTTTAGTTTTATGTGTCTATAGAAATATGTTTAGTTCTGTCCTGCTTTGTTCTGTTTTTCCCTCTAATACAGAAAGGATAGAAATACATGTTAAGACTCATGCTTGCATAAAACCTATAAACAGTTTATGAGTACTGATCTGATAACACATGATGAAATAAACAAATACTTTGAAGGAAAGAAAGGGGCACTGCAGTACCCAGTGCTGATTCCAGAGTGTTATGATGTGAAATTCAGCAATATTATTAATCTTTGTTCAGAAGGATTTTAATCTAGTAAGTTTAGTTAGGTCTCATCATAAATGAAGATATGGATAGATGCATACATGTCTAAGTGTATGTTAGCCATAATACTTAGTTTTTGTGGGATAGTTAAACAGAACTGTTTGCAGTCTCCCTGGTTGAATTCCCATTTATATGTTCCACTTGTGCATCTTGAACAACTATTTGTGGGGGGATAATATGTATACATCAACTAGTGATTTATTACTGTTTATTTCTTTTCTTTGAAAGTATGTACTATTTCTGCCCATTTTATATTTTTTTCTTTCTTTAAATAAAAAAAAAAAGAAAGAAAGAAAGGGGAGTGCCAGGACCCTTGGCTTGCTGAGGAGGACGGTACTTCTGCAGCATCATGGGGTGCAGCTGGCTGATACAACCAGGGTTCAGGGTGGGCAGCCTTGGGGGTGAGGGGTGGAAAATCCTGCCCCATCTTGCCGGCCTACCTGGCTTGGGGGACCAGGTGCGAGAGAGACTTTCTGAGCCCCCTGGGTGGGACCTGCTTTTTTCTCAACAACCCCTGCCCAGTGTAGCCACTGGGGACCAAACAAACTCCCAGCTAAAATAACCTGCATGGGTGGCCCCGAGCATGACAAGGGGACAAAGGCCCTGCTGGTCCTGTCAGCCCTAGCTGCGAGCCCAGAGGGGTTAGTTAACCTGCCCCCAGCAGCTGGGCCGGGGACATCCCAGAAGCCCTGACCTCCCTGGCAGTCCAAGGGCACAGTGGTCACTTCTTTCCTTATTTAATCTTTTTTCCTCAGTACTAAGGGTCAAGGGAGGGGCAGAGCCAGGTGTGTTCACCCAGACAGTCTGGCCAAATCTCTTGCCCCAGAGAGTTTCCATTCCTCCTTCCTGGCCAGGGAAACAATGGGAGGCTGAGCCTGGGTCCCTCTTTTACTCGGTTGCCCTCTAACCTTGTGTTACCCACCTGCTTCACTGTAGCTGGCATGTGAGTGTTGGACACTCGAGACATGGACAGGAGCCCTGGGCATGGGGCTTGGGAGATGGGAGCCCGCTGGGAAAGGCGGGCACGTCAAGGCACTGCCACTGCTCCCTGGACAGGTGACCCGTCCACCTATGCTGTGCTCTATGAGGTGCAGTCACAATTCACAGTCAGCATTTAAATTAAAATATATCCCAGTAAAGACACAGTGCCAGGAGTCCCCCAAAATCCTCCCCGGCTTTGCAGATACTCATCCCACTGTCCGGAGTCCTCTTTCCTGAGCGTCTTTTGCTGTGCTGTCCTGGCTGCCTCCATGTCCTGAATGGATTCAAAATGTCTCCCTTTCCTGGTCACTGTGACTTTCGGGAAGAGCCAGAAGTTGCATGGTGTCAGATCCGTGACTGAGGCAGTTGAGGACACAGTGTCATTGAAGTGCCTTTCTGTGGGACGGTGCCCAGCAGCAGCATCACTGTGACCCTGATCACAAGTGGTCATGACACTTGATGGTCATGACCCTGGACTTGCTCTTCTCCACTCTGCCTCCACCATGGGACCTCGCCTCCTCTCTCCCAGCTGGGCAGGGCCCCCAGACCCAGCGTGTGCTTTTGTAGGGTCAACAAGGCTCCTCTGGGGGGCTCTGAGGGTAGGGGGGCAGGTGAACTTTCTGCAGCGCCTGCCACACAGGCGTCACGGTCACCCTCACCCTCCACGGTGTCTGCTGAGGGCCTGAGCTTCCGAGACAGAGCCCAGCAGAGGGAAGGAGTTGGGGCCAAGGTGGGGCTTGGGGAGGGGCGAGGGTTCAGCTCCCAGCACTGCCACTTAGGGGCTGAGGTTTCAAACCCCGATGAACCCCAGAGCTTTGGCTCTGCGGAACATGGTTCGTAGTGGCGCAGGCCACTTTCATGGGGCCTTTGATACCCAAAGGAGAGGACAGATACAAAAGCGCTCAGGAAAGAAGGGTGAGACCTTAGTGCGGGAAGCTGCAGGTCCCGGTGGAAAGGAATGAAAGATCTAAGCCCAGGAAAGCCGTCCTCGCCACTCCAGGCTGGAAGATTTCACACTGTGGAGACTGAGGCCTGCAGCCGCTGAGGCTGAGTGCAGCGGACCCGCCAGAGCCTCGCAATCTGAGCCCTGACAGCGATAGAAGCCGCTCATCTCAGCGTCGCTGAAAGCAGAATGCGTCTTTTTCTTTTTTTTCTTTTCTTTTCTTTTCTTTTCTTTTTTTTTTTTTTTTTTTTTTTTTTGATACAGGGTATCACTATGTAGTGCAGGCCGTCTCGAACTCACTGTGCAGCCCGAGTGGGTCTCAAACTCTTGGCAGTCTTCCGGCCTCAGCCTCCCCAGTGCTGGAATTACCGGCATGCGCCCGACCCCACTTCTGGGTCCCCCACTGCTCTTCCCAGCGTGCGTGTCCCTGAGGCCACTGTGAGGGTACAGGACGGCACACATGTATGAACAGGTGTATGTGTGCAGCGGAGTATTTTGGACATGCGTGTGCACTAGCGTATGCATGCAGTGTGGCGTGTGCACACACCCGTGGCCACGCCTGCCTGCGTCCTCACGCATGGTGCGGGGAGGGGGCGCAGACAGGCTCCTCCGCCTTACCAATTGCGGTGCAGGAGCTGACTTCTGCACTTGAACCCGGCCTTCCAGGCGTTAGAAGGGTGAACTTACCGAAGTAAGAGGCCGGGACATGTTTTAGTTACCAGTCCGCGCGCCCGTGCCCAGCTTTCAAGCAGCGAGGAGAGCAGTGGGCGGAGATTGCCCTGCGCTTCCACACCTTGCCGGCAGAGGACAGGCGAACACAGCAGCGGGAGCGGCGGCCGCGGGAAGCCGGCCCAGGTGGGTCCCAGCTGGTCCCTGGCTTCCGGGCAGGGAGGGGCCAGGTGCGGAGGGTGACGGGTAGGGGCAGGGGCAGGGCTTTGGGGGCAGTCTCTACGCTGCTCCGGCGGCCTCCAGTGCTCTCTGCGCTCCGGGTGGGACCTGGGTTCTGTCCTGACGGCGAGGCTATGGAAGGGCTGCCCTCTGACCTGCGGTCATCCCCTCTTTGAAATGAGATGACGACACCCGACCTGGTGACCCTCTCGCTCTCCCCTTTCTGTTCCCAGGGAGGAGCTGGCCTTGCAGCCTGGGCAAAATCAGGTCCCTTGGCCTGGCCGACGGCGTCCGGGTGCAGCTCCGTGGCTCTGGGTGGTCGCTGACTTCCGGCCCAGGGGCTTAGGGCCCCGCAGTGACCAGGCAAGATGAGGCTGCAGGCAGGACGCCCAGCTCGGTCGCCCAGGGAACTGCAGCAAAAGCGAGCCTCCCAGAGCTGGGGTGCAGGTAGCATCAGCTGAGGGTGGGATGCCCCTTCAGTCTCGGTTTGTTTTTTTGTACCAGGGACCTCACATTTACCAGGCAAGCACATGAGCCACTGAGCTAAATCCCTGGCACCTTCTTTTCTTTCTTGGGACAGGGTCTCGGTATGTAGTTAGTTCAGCCTAACCTTGAACTCACTGTGTAGGCCACGCTGGCTTTGAACTCAAGGCACTCCTCCTGCCTCAGCCTCCTGAGTGTTGCTGAGATGACAGATGTGCGTCACCACACCTGGCTGTCAGCCTTGCCCCTGGCAGTGATCCCAAAGGATCTGGGTCTAATCTAGCAAAGGTGAGGGAAATGGGCAAGGGCATCCTCTTTCATTTATTCCTGAACTCAGCAAACACAGCCCCATCCCCTCCTTTGCTGAGCCCTGCTAAATGTACACATTATGGCTTTTGGGGGGTTCCCACCGAAGATAGAGGCCCTCAGAGGGCTCAAGGCATGGGAGGCTGTGGGGCGCGGGAGCGGGCAGCTTTGACCAAGAAGCTGATGTCTGGATCCCCCACCTTGCCTGAAGTCAAAGGTGGAGGAGCTGAGGAGCAGGTGACAACCCAGAGTCACACAGCCACAGCCCAGGACTCCTAAGCTCCGACTCCCCCACAAGCTGCCTTGGGGCCTAGGGCTGTGGGAGGGCCCGGAAGTGGGATGTGTCATCAGGTGGCTTCTCTATCCCCAGCTCTGCTGGCACAGCTGCCACCTGCAGGGCCTTGCCCACTGCTGACCTAGATTTCTCAGCCACACCGTCAACACCTCCAAGGCAGGGCACAGCATGGCTCTTTGGAGCCCAAACAGCCCTGCACAGTGACCCAGCTTCCACCTCGGGGCAGGGTGGGGCCAGAGCCCAGTGCTGTACTGGCTACCTGGTGCCAAGAGGCCATCCTGGGGATCCAGTATGGTACCTGTGTCCCCTTTCAGTGCTGGGAAGGGCAGACCCAAGGACGGTGCTCAGGACCCCTGTGAAGCAGCTCCCCAAGACCCCTGCACGAGGGGTGCACTGTGTGTGAGGTCCATTGCTTCTGACTCTTGCAGGTTGCTACTCAGGACTCAGAGCAATAGGGGTTCCTGGGGCTCCCTGTCCAGTCTCAGGGTCCTTCTCTTCTGTTTTCCTGGGCTGACTGGACCTCCTTGTCCTCCCAGTGTATCCAGGCCAGCTGATCATGCAGCCACGCATCCCAGAGAGCTCTTGGCGACATGCAGCAGCCCGTACCCATCTGACACCCACTCCAGGTGGGACTTGGGGCTGAGCCAGGGCACCAAGGGACAGCGGTTCAGACAGCTGGGTGTTCCCCACTAAGAACAAGATGGGGCCTGGAGAGTGCAGGGTGCTGGCCATCAGGGGAAGGACTCTCTGTCCCCAAGATGCTGCTGCTGGTTCCCCCTAGCCAGGGGACTTAGGCACACGTCTCTCTGAGGTCCTTTGAAGCCAGGAAATGATGTGGCCTTAATTTCTCATGGAGGAAGGAGCATTTACACCAGGTATGGTGATGCACAGCTGTGCCGTCAGTGTAGACACCCAGCCGGAAGTCCTGGGCACACACCTGGCTGTAAGAGTGGGCTGACCCAGGCCCAGGGCTCATACAGTACCTGGCAGGGACAGCTGACTTGTGCTGGACCCAGGCAGCCACTCCGACACCCACACACTCAGTGTCCAGCTGTGAAAACCCTGGGAATCGGGTTACTAGGCCACCTTCTGAACTTCCAGAGGAAATGTGATGGTCACCCGAGGGCCAGGCTAGAGACATCATCTCCCTACACTACACTTCCTCATCCTAACTGCACCCCAAGCTGCAGAATCAGAGCAACCTTGGTCCCTAGGGTCTGGTCTGGAGGGGGGTACTGTGAAGCAGCTCCCCGAGACCCCTGCAATTGCCTTCTAGGCTAAGGGACAGGCTCCTTACGGAATTGGGATAGAGAAGAGCAGGACAAGGGGGCCAGTAGCGGGGTCCCCACTGCTGGAGAGACAAAAAGTTGCATGTGTTGGCCAGATCTTGGGATACTCACCCCAACACCCCAAAATGGCCTCAGCTGGCCATACCCCACCCTCTGAGCTCAGCCCCCAGTGTGCCCCAAGTTCTTATGTTGAACCCTAATCCTTGATCCGATCATGTTAAACCATAATCCTTGATGCAATGAAGGTGAGGTCTTTAGAACCAAGAAGAGAGGCCACAGCTGACACCAAAAGTGTTGCCACCTTGACCCACCTGCACTCCAAGAAAAAGCTGCTGATGTTTACGGACACCCCATTTATGGTATCTCGTTAAAGCAGCCTAAACAGATGAAGACTAAGCAGACCAAGCCTGCCTGTCATCCTAGCACTTGGGAGGCTAAGGCAAGAGAATCACTGTGAATTTGAACCAGCCTGGATACAATAGTGAATTAAACCAGGCATGGTGGGGCCTGTAATCCCAGCACTTGGGAGTCTGAGGCCAGCCTGGGCTACACACTGAGTTGAAGGCCAGCCTACACTACACAGCAAGACCCTGTCTCAAAAATAAATAAAGACAAAATGGGATGGACCACTGTCTTAGCGCACCTATGGTCCTCTAACCAGATACCTGACCCTGTGCAAGTGATAAAAGGGTAGAGGTGGCTTGATTCCCAAGGCTGGGAGCCCGAGAATGAGGTGTCCACCTCTGGTGAGGGCTTCCAGCTCCACTGTCCCGTGTGCGAGGGCAGCAGAATGTGCAAGTGCAAGAGAAAGGGGCCGAACTTGTCCGTTATCAGCAGCCAGTTCTGCAAGGAAGCCCCCCCACCCCCCAGTGCTAGCATCGATCCCTCTTAAGGGCAGAACCCCAGCTCCAGTCACTTCTTCAACCCTCGGTACCCTCACGTAGGAAATTCAGTTCCCAGCACAGGGATTTGGGGTTCACCTGCCAACTCCAGCAGCCCTGTTGGGATTCAAATGGGGCCCCTCTGAATTTGGGGGGGAGGGTGCTGCTTGGGTGCTGTTAAGAGGGAGCCCTTTAAAGGGAATCAGGCTAAGAGGCCTCCTCTGTTACTGATGGGATGAAGGCCTGTATAGAAGAATGTGATGGTGCACCCCCGTGATCCCAGCTCTCTGGAAGGCTGAAGCAGGAGGATTGCAAGTTCCAGCCTCGCCTGGGCGATTTAGTGATTCAACAAGAATCTGTGTCAAAGAAAGAAAAGGAAAAGGGCTGGGGCTGTAGCTGAGTGCAAAGACTCCACATTCAATCTCTATTACAGAAAAAAAAATGTTTGAAAAGAGGCTTCTTTATTGCCTGACTGGCTCACCTTCTACCTCCAGCCATGTGGACATACAGCTTTCTGCATCGGACAGATAGACAGGCCTGCTGGGGTCCTGCTCTTGATCTTGGGCCTTAGGGTCACCAAGTCTGGGGTCGACTTCCATGGACCTGGGACAAGTGCACCCTGTGCTGCTTGGCAACTGGCAGATCCCTACAGAGCCTCCCTGATGCCCCCCTCGGCTTGGAGCTCCCCAAGGAAGTGCCAGGTGACAGACACATCCGCTGGGAAGTGGGTGACATCTTGAGCCCTTGGGCATGGGTCCCTGCTGTCTTCCTGGCCTCTCCTCTACCTAGGGTCCCCGTGGGCCCCGGTCACAGATGCCCTTCTGGTGCCCACCTTGTCTTCCCTGACTAGCCTCAGCTCTGTAGATGTGTTGGGGTTCTTTAAGGGCCACACCCCTGTGCCCTGCTGCTCTATAACCTCTGACCCCAGTGCCCCAGGGCTTCCAGGGACTACGGGACTAGGTGAAGTGGCACAGTCTACAGTCCCAGGTGGCAGGTCTCCCAGACACCAAGCCCTCCCAGGCAGAGCCCAGGGGCATCTCTACTTCCAGGCTGTGTGGCATCGAGCAAGTTACTCAACCTCTCTGGAAGAGAAAACAAGCAATACCTGCCTGGTGATTACAAGGAGGATCGCATTGTCCTGGGCCAGCATTGCACAAGGGAGCTCAGAACTGCGACTGATGTCCCCTCCCCTGAGACGAGGGGGAACTGAAACCCGAGGCGAGGGACCCACCCATCCACCTAACGCGGAGTCACCCTGGTCGCCTCCCTCCTCCTGAAAATCCTGGGGGGCAACGGGGGGGGGGCACTCACAGTCCTGGTTCAGCGCCTGGCTAGGGAGCAAAAACAGAGGGCCCAGCTGGCCTTCCCTCGGCAGAGGAGGCGTCTCGGTGGGTGTGACATTCCTGAGTCTCGGGCGCGATTCAATCCCTTGAAGGGCGGCCACCAAGCAGGCTCCCCGTCCGCAACAGGAGTCTTGGCTTCGCCCACCTAAAGGAGGTGGATGCCTGGAAGTGGTCGCCGGAAGACCGAGGCGATGGGCGTGGCTTGGTGTGGGCGTGGCAGGTGGGCGGCATCTGCTCTGCTGCACATGCGCAGAACAGACACCTTACCCGCACACCTACCGCGCCTTCCTACAGCCTGGTTCTCCATCCTTCGTTTTAAGACTCTGGGATGCCTCTTGCTCCGGTTGTTGGCTCTCCGTGTTCGAGCTTGTTAGGGTAGAGGTGACGCCACGTGGTGACTGACACATCTGCTGGTGACAGAGTAGGTGCCAGTGAGTGCTGGCACCAGGAGCGGTGGAAGGATAGGGCAATGGGTCGCCTCCCTATTTATTTAACATTAATACTTTCACTGGAGATGTCCATAATGTGGGCTGCAAAACACTCTCTGTAAAGAAAAAAAAAAGCCACTTACACGACCATTGAAATAACCTCTTCTGGGCATGGTACTGCACGCCCGTAATTCCAGCACTTGGAAGGCTGAGGCAGGAGGATCACTGCGTGTTCAAGGCCAGCCTGGGTTACAGAGTGAGTTCAAGGCCAGCCGGAACTGCATTAGTGAGACCTTGTCTCAGACAAAAATAAAATGAAGCTGCTTTCAAAAGCCAGAGTGGTGACACATGCCTATAATCCCAGCACTTTGGAGACAGACAGGAGGATCACCATGCATTCAAGGTCAGCTTGCATTATATAGTGAGACCCCGGAAAAACGAAAAGAAAGTAACCCTAAAATTACAGGCAGAACCAACAAACGCGATCATGCAACGCCTGGTGACAGTCACTGTCAGACCATGGAAATGACAGTTGTCCCCTAAAATGAACGGCCCAGGGACATCAAAGCTGTTTTAATTTGTGACAGTGATGCTTGCACAACAGAAGAGAAAGCCTAGCTAAGCAACCACAGTGGTTTCCTTGTCATTCTCAGAGGCAGGACCATGACTACACCCCACCCCATCCCTCTCCCTGGCATATCTGACTTGGGTACTGGGTGTGCAGCCTGGGAACTTGGCCTGGTCGGTTTCTTTTTACTTGGCTGAAAGTCCTACAGCCCTATCTTCCAGCCATCTGTATCTATGTTTTAGAATTCACCTAACAGATGTTCACAGCAGACAACCATCTTTCTTCTTCAGAGTTGGGGATGTGGGAGGTATGATGTATGTGCCACTACCCCCACCCCGCCATCTTCCCATGTCATTGCTTACAGTAGACAAACCTGATCCACAAGCTAGGAAAACACAATTCAGGTCCAGTCCCTGTAGCTCAGAGGGTGTGATTTCAGCCAATCACTATCATCTATAAGTCTCGGTTTCCACCTCGGGGGAAATACTCGTGCCTCAGTGGGCTTCATGGGACCCAGCGTTGGCTTCTATCTTCCAAACCAGGGTATAAATTCCTTTGATAAAACTCAGAAATGGCTGGGGATGGTAGCTCACACCTGCCATCCCAGCACTCAAGAGACTGAGGCAGGAGGATTGTGGTGAGTTCGAGGCCAGCCTGACCCTATCTCAAGAATAAATAGATAAATAAGTAAATAAATAAGATTTAGGACTTGAAAGAAGTTTCACACCTGAGACTCAGAGTTTCTGGCTCTGGACCCATCTTACCAAAGCCCGGTGTCTTCCCTGTTGTGGGCTGACTTTTGTCCCCTCGAAAAGAGGCTAACTCCCCTCAGCCTCTTGTGAATAGGGCCTGATTTGAAAACAGAGTCTCTACAGATATAATCCACTTAAGTGAGGTCATGATGTGAGTCCTGATCCCGTACAATCATGGGTTTTTTGTCTTTTTGTCTTGAGCAGGGTCTCACTATATAGTTCAGCCTGCCCTTGAACCCATTATGTAGCCCAGGCTGGCCTTGAGCTCAGAGTGATCCTCCTGCCTCAGCCTTCTGAGTGCTAGGATGACAGGTATTCACCACCATGAGGAGAAAGAGCTGTCATGCAAAAGCTGAAGCCCCCAGAGAGGTCATGCAGAACAGGTAGAGACTGACTTCTTGAGCCCCAAGCCCAGGGACACTGAAGATGCCTAGCCACACCAGAAGCCCAGGCCATACCAGGCAAGATGAGCCAGAGTCCCTGAGGGACCCAGCCCTGCCTGCACCTTGGTCTTGAATCTCCCAGTTCTGGGCTCTGAGGATACAAACAGCTACTGTTGGTTGAAGACAGCATTGGTAGTCCCCGATGCTCCTGAGTCAGAGCACCACTCGGAGCTCTGATGTCCCCTGCAGGAAGCAGGTGGCCTCGCTCTCACCCCTTGACAAAGTCCATGTGCTCTGGAGAAGGGACACTGCTTAGGCTGTCCCCTCCAGACCCAACCCTGGAGAGGTGGATGCTCTGTGTGTCCTGCCTCAGGAGGTGGCGGTGGGGACACATCTATGCCCAGCTGGGCTAGCTGGACCAGCCTGAGGGGCAGCCTCACTCCTGGCCTCTAACCAGCTGGGCGGGAATGCAAGGGAGGCTGACAAGCTCTGCGCGGGCTTCAGAGCCCAGCCCACAGGCTGCCGGGCCTCAGGGACACGGGGCGCACTGGCTGGGCTGGGTGGTGCCCTCACTCCCCTCCCCTTGCACAGGCCCTTCCACTGGCCTGAGACCTTTCGAGGCTCTGCCATGAGTGGCTGGTGGGGTTGCAGGTGGCCCCAGGTCCCACGCTAGGCCTCCATCTGTCCTCTTCCTACAGCAGGTGGGAGGCTGGATAGGGGGAGGCCAGGAAAAGGGGGCTCCTTTTTTGCATACAGCTCCCCATTCTCCTCCCTGAGCCTGCATCCTCAGCCGCAGGGTGGCCCATGGAAACAGACTGCTTTCTGGGGCTCTCATCTTAATGACAGCGGGCTCCCCTTCCATCTTGCAGTCCTTGCTCAGGCTTAGGTCCTCCTGAAGGAAAGGGGGGCACCCTCCTTGCTGGGAGGGTGTGGGCAGGTGATTGCTCATCCACCCAAGGCCGCACTAACAGCTCTGGGCCTGGGAGTGTTTTTATTTTTGATATTACCTTTCTTTTGTTTTTGTGATCCTGGGAATTGAACCCAGGACCTTCCCACTGAACTATGTCCCCTGCCCTTTTTAAAATTGTTCTTTTTTAGTTTTGAGATAAGGTCTCACTAAATTGTCCAGACTAGGTCCAAACTTTCAATCCCCCTGCCCCAGCCTTCCAGAGGGCTGGGATCACAAGTGGGAGCCCCCACACCCAGTTGGGCACCCTCTTCTGCCGCACTCACCCATCGCCTGTTGACTGAGCACCCGCACCGCCCCTTCAAGGGTTAAAAACTTCTCCCCCACCACCCCACCCCACCTCACCCCCTCTCCAGTGGCCTCTCTGGGCAAGGGTGGGGTGAGCTCACTCAGCTGGACAGGCAGTGGGGGAGCAGGTGCTGGTCACCCCAACCTTGAGATGGACCTTGAGCCCTGAGATGAAGGTGCAAGGCCACCAAGTGGTGCCCTGATCTGCCCTTAGGGTAAGGGACAGTGCTCAGGCAACTCCCCCTCTGAGCTGGGGACCAGAGACACACTGAAAGAGGCACCTTGGCCTTACAGGACCAGGGCTCAGTGACCCTGAAAGACATGGCACTCCTCAGTATTGTGCCTGGAGTAAGATCTACAGGAAGGTCTAAATTCCAACCTGCAGTCCCCTGAGGTCTTCCTGTCAGAGTTTGGTCTCCCCAGCCCCTTCTTCATGTACAGTACTGGGGCCTTTGCACTGATCTACACCCCCAGCCCTTTCTGTATTTTTTATTTTGAAACAAGTTCTTGCTCAGTCGATTAATTGCCAAGGTTGCGTTTGAATTTGTGACCCTCTTGTCTCAGCCTCCCAGCCAGTTGGGATTACAGCCTACACAGCATACCCAGCTCTACATCCCATCCCATCCATCCTTTTAAAAACCTGAGAGAGAGGTAGCAAGGTTCGTAAGGCTGCATGTGAGCTGGGTATGTGCCTGCAGGCCATGTCGTGCCTGATCCCTGGGGGCAAATCACAGTGACATTGCAGGCCCTGGCTGCCACTTGAGTGGTGGCTGACAGCAGTGGTGGACATCAACAAAGGTCCCTCTAAGGAAAGGACCCGCCGTGCTGCCAACCAGCTTCCTTTGCCCCAGGTTCCTGGGGACACCTGCCCTTGATCCGTGGTGGCTCACACTGGTGTTCAGCACTGTCTGTCCCTGCCTTTGAAGGTGGCCACAGTTGGAACTCAGAGCAGGGGACCATTTGGAGGTTCTGTGACATGAAGTCACTCACGCAAGGCTTGTGACAAGTCTGCATTGGAGTCATCCAGAACTGTGTCTGTGTGCCTGGTGTGACGGCGCACTCCTGTCATCCCAGCACTGGGAGGCTGAGGCAGGAGATTCGCTGGGTGTCTGAGGCCAGCCTAGGCTACATAGAGAGACTTTGTCTCAAAAACAAACAAACAAACAAACAAATAAAACTCCCAGGCCTGAACAATGAGGTGCCCTGCATAAGTTGCCCCCATCACCAGAGGTGCTCTTGTCTGCTGTACCTGAATTCAGCCTGTTCTCTCCCCTCTTGTGGAGCCGTACCATTGAGGCCAGGCTGGGGTTGTCCTGTCCCACATAGAGATGACTGATGGGCTGTGTGACCTGTGCCATACGAGTTCAGGTAGCACAGGGACTGCTCTTTGCCAGCATCACCCACGAGTCTACCTTCACTGGAGTGATTGGGATATTTCACCCAGGTTTCCCAGGAGCACACATCTGTGGTCCATCCACAGCACGGTCCGGCAGGGAGGGGACAGAGCTGGCCTGGGAGCCAGGCAGCCAGCATTGCAATCTTTGCACCCAGGACCGACTCCTGTGCCTGCCAAGGGACTCTCCCCAGTAAGAGGCTGGGGTCTAAGGGGTTTGATGGAAAATAACCATGTAAGTTTAAGTTTTAAAAATTAATTACAGTAAAAGACACATTCTTGTGAATCACATCGGAATCCTCCCCGGCTTTGCACATACTTGTCCCTTTGTCCTGGCCGCTTCCTGCAGCAGCTCTGCAGTGCTCTTTCCTGAGGGTCTTTAGCTGCGCTGTCCTGACTACCTCCATGTCCTGAATGGATTCGAAACCTCTCCCTTTCCTGGTCATTGTGACTTTGGGGAAGGGCCAGAAGTCACATGGCACCAAATCCGGTGAATCAGGTGGACGAGGAGCTGGTGTCGTGTTTTTACAAGTCTTGCTTTCATATGGGTGACGCTTGGTGACAGCTGTCACTGTATTTTCGATCACACCTCATATCACTCTGCACCCTTTGAAGACAATGGGGCCCAAACAAGGGCAAAAGCAACAAAAACCCTGAAATGAAAAAGATCCAGCACCCGATGGACTCCCTAACACCTGTACCCACAAGAGGACCCAGTTGGGGGAGGCAAGGTCAGGGCTAAGCTCAGACTCAGGGTAACAGGGACCCAGAATCCCAGCCCCCTGAAATAATATGAACAGCAGGACTACTAAATCTTTCATTATTTCCCGTTTCCCCTTGAGCATACTGACTTTGCAATAAAAAAGCTGTCATTGACACTCTTCTGCATGGACATGGGGCTTTGCCTTGGTTTTCTCCCTGGTGAACCCACTTCTGTCCCTGTGGGTGTCATACGGCTCCCAGGTGCCAAGCAGGCAGTGGGGAGCCCAGTACAGGCACGACATACAGCAGCAGAGTCCTTGCTACAGGAGCAGGCAGGGGCAGCCTTTGTCCCCACCGTGACCCTGGGGTAAGGACAGGGAACAGGCACAGGCTGGGCCAGCCCCCTACGCCACGAAGGAAGAGAGCAACCCCTCAGAAGCCTTGGGGCTCCCTTCCCAGGGGCCACCTTCTGCCTGGGTTACTCTGTGAAGTCAGTGAGCATCATCCTTCAGAATGTCCCATGCCTGGGGTTACCTGTGCCTGGGGTGTGTTGTCACCACACCAATCCATAAGGACCCAGCTGTCACTGTGTGTGCCACCACAGCTAGCTTGAAACAGTGTTTTAAAAGCAAAAGTTTTTTCAGGAGGTGCTAATAATAGGTCAAGGTCTGACATGGAATTTGAACTATTTTAACAAAACGAAACAAAATACATAAATACAACCCTCAGAATCCCAGATCACACATGGTGCCTTTACAAGTTATTATGTTTTATTTTTGGTTTTGTTTTTTGTCTTTTTGAACAGGGTTTTGCTGGGCAGTTCAGGCTGGCCTTGAGCTACTTTGTAGCCCAAGCTGGTCTCAAACTCACAGGCATGCGCCCACTCCCCAGGATGAGTGCATTCGTTATGGGTTGCAAATGTGAACAAACAAGAAGCATTTTGAAAGAATCATACGCCCAACGTTGACACCCAGAGAGCACTGTGGTCAGAAGGCGAGTGGGCCGTGACGCCAGCCTGGCCCCGCGAGGCTCGAGCCTAGCCCCAGTTGCATCACACATCACCCCATTTTTATGGCTGCGCAGAAAGAGCACAGCGCCGCTGGGCTGTTCCCGAGGTTTCTCTTTGTGGATGGTCCTCGGGGCTTTGACCACATCCCATAATTACCTCCCCAGGACAGGGGAAGTGACATAATCAGAGGTCTTATGTGAGGGCCGACTACTGTAAAATCTCACTTCACTGGGATTTAGGGAGCCGTAATCTCTAATTAACCAATTTTCTTTTGCTCAACTTCTAGAACATAAGGAATCTCTGTCTGTCTGCCGTCTGTCTGTCTGTCTCTCTGTCTGTCTCTGTCCCCCTGAGAAATAAGGATAAATTTAACAAATATGTCAAACAACAGTTCTAAAAACTGTTGAGAGAAATTAAAGTGAGTATAAGTGGTGAGATATATGTCTAATTCAGGGATGGAAAGACTCGGGATTGTTAAAATATCAGTTCTCCACTCTCTCCTGGAAGTTGGTCAATAATTCAACCCAACAATGTGCAAATTTTTAGCAGGACTTTTCAAAAACTTAGTAAGAGAATTTGAACTTTTATTATAGCATCACCATTATAATTTTGAAAAGAAGTGAAGGTGGAGGACTTTGTTTCAACTCAGTGATGCAGTGCCTATCTGGCAAGTGCGAGGTTCTGAGTTCGATTCCCAGTACAAAAAAATTACATTGCAAGTATATGCAACAGAATGAGCCAACATAAGAATAGAATATCTGATATAGAAGACAGGATTGGGATTAACGATCATGAAAAGAAAGATTTCTTTTTTTTTTTTTTTTTTGTCTTTTTCAGGCTAGGCTTATGCTCACTTTGTAGCCCAGGATGGTCTTGAGGGTTTTGTTTTGTTTTGTTTTGTTTTGTTTGTTTTTGTTTTTGTTTTTTTTTGGTGGTACCAGGGATTGAACTCCCAACCTCACTTTTGTTGGGCAGTTGCTTATGCCACTGAACTAAATCCCCAGCCCCTCAGGCTGGTCTTGAACTCACAACAATCCTCTAGCCTCAGCCTCTTGACTGCTGGAATTGCAGGCATGCACAGCGAAGAATGATTTTTTTTTTAATTTTTTATTTATTTTTGGTGCTGGGGATCAAACTCATGACCTCGTGTTTGCCAAGCAGGTACTCACATGGCTGAGTTAAACCCCTGGCCAAAGAATGATTTCTTAAAAATAACAAAGGACCATAAAAAATCAACCCAACAGCTACAAGATGATACAAGGAGGGCCTCTTCACCAACCTGAGAACCTCAGTGAGCCATACAGGAGTGGAAAAACCCTACCCATTGCCCCTCCGCCATCCTGGAAACTTTGGCCTGGAGGAACCCAGGGCATTCTCCTCCACCACAGGACAGGCAGCCAGCATGGGCAGCATCCAGGGCTTGGCAACCAGCTTGTCCAGACAAAGCCATGGTAAATCCACTCTAACAAGGGAAATGCTTTGCATACAAACCCCTAATATGTAATTGGTTCTGTTATATAACTATAGGCTTTGCTCCTATGGTCCGAAGTACAAAGTCAATAGTTAGCACATTGTGTCAGTTTCTAAATTGTGCTTCCTGCTGTCATTATTGCTAATTGTATGACTGCAGCTAGTTCATCATATCTGTTGTAATCAGTTGTTCTCCCTTGTGTAACAATATTAGGAAACTCTAGAGTAACAACCTCACCACAGCCCTATACCCAAAGACTGAGGCCTGAGCCAAGAAGAAGTCAACATTCTACTCTCAATTAATTAGGAAGGTAGGGTCTTAGAAAACACACAAACCAAGAATCTCCTACACACAGAGGATGGCCCTGAAGGATACACCTTTCCTAGCAAGACCTTGATATTAGAGTGCTACCTACCACCAAAATTCACAAGAATCATCACAGAAAGCAAAATAAAAATGTGTGAAGTAGAAAATGTCAAGATGAAGGAGCAAAATGCAATCTCAGACATTCCGCCCACCCAGAACAAGTCCAGGAGACACTGATATAGAATAAACTGGAAGTTACACCCTGAAATTTCTGTAATAACAGCAACTAAAGTAAGAAAACAGTTCCATGAGGCTGTTAAGGAAGTTAGATCAGAAATAATCTCTCAAGTAAAAAAAGAAATGACAACCATAATGAAAGAATTGCCGAGCGTATCTAAAGAATATGCAGATAAAAACAGAGGAGCATAGGAAAATTATGGAAACTTTGAATGAGTAATATAGGAAAGAATAAGATACATGAAACAAATTCCGAGAGATAGCCAGGAAATTGAAAATTCCATTGAAAAGTGGCAAAATTATTAGAACAAAACTGAAGTTAGGCTTGCAGATCGTAAAGACAGGATTGCAGCTAGTGATCACAAAAAGAAAGATCTCTTAAAAATAACAAGGAACCAGGAAATAATTCAAAGCTACGAGATGGTGCAAAGAAAAACAATATAAGACCAATAAAAAGGAGTCAAAAGAAGAAAAAGAAAAAGCAGGAGTCAACACAAATGACACAAAAAGACTATTTACAAAAGTAATAGCAGAAAATTTCCCAAGCACAGGGAAAGAATTTGACATTCAGATAATGGAGTCATATAGAACTCCAATTAGCCATAACCAAAATAAATCTGCACCCTGACATGTAATAATCAGGATTCCATAAATTTAAAACAAAAAATTCCAGAAATTTAGCACAAGAACAGAATACTAAAAACTGTTGGAGAAAAAAAAAACCTGGGTTACATAGTGAAGAAAGAAAGAAAGAAAGAAAAAAAGAAAAGAAAGAAAGAGAGAAAGAAAAGAAAGAAAGAAAGAAAGAAAGAAAGAAAGAAAGAAAGAAAGAAAGAAAGAAAGAAAGAAAAGAAAGGAAAGAAAGAAGAACCTGGTGTTAGCAGGAAGAGCAGGATCTTTGCCACAGGCAGAACTTGGTTTAGAATCCCTCTCAGTCTCTTATTGGCTTTGTGACCTGATTTGACCTCCTCCAGAGCCTCAGTTTCTTTTATGGTTTAAAGACCAGAGAAAAATGACCCCTGCTTTGCTCATGGGCCTGGCACAGCACTTTATGCAGAACAGGTGTGGAGCAGATCACCTCCCTCCTTCCCCTCTCCTCCCCTTCTTTTCCCTCCTTCCCCAGGAGGGCACAGCCCTGGCCTGCAGCTCCTGGGCACGGAGGCCTCCACGCGGGCCTGCAGCACAGCAGGGCTGGCAGAGGGGACGCATTCAGTGCCCCCCTAGCAGGAGGGGAGGCCTGGGAGGAAGGAGCTCGCGTGTGAGAAACTCCTGGAGCCCTCGTGCCTTGTGATTAGCATAATAGGTGTCCGGAGAACTTTGAAGATAATAACACGTCTGCGCCTCCCTTTCAAGCAGCGATGGGGTGATACTGGATGTCGGTCGCACAGCTCGAGGCCCTCTGGGGGCCAGGACTCATTGCTTATCTTAAGGAAACTCAGAGTATCAGGAAAACGAAGCCCACAGAGAAGAGGGCGCAGGACTGTGCTTGGAAACGCCTCCGCGGGGTTGGTTCCTGGGGTGGAGGAAGCCTGTGGTATCGGTGGCCCACTTTCCAGTTCACAAAGTTTTGTTTTTGGGGTGCACATGCATACAGGCATGGGCATGAGGCTCAAACCTAGGGCTTCCCACTGAGTTCACCCCCAGCTCTTTCTTAATTTTTTTATTTCTATTTTTAGAATGAGTCTTTCTAAGTCACCAAGTTCCCCAGGCTGAGCTGGAATTTGCCACCCTCCTGCCTCAGCTTTCCTGAGTGCTAGGGTAACAGGTGTGTGCCACCGCACCTGGCTCAGTTTACAGAGTTTAGACAAAGCCCTTGCACATCCATGAACCTGTCGGTACCGCGGCACCTCAGTGGTTTGTAAGGTAATCATCCTATCCCGGAGAGAAACCAGGGCCCAGACAGGAGCCCATGGGGTCATCCAGCTGGCAGCCCTTTGTCAGGCGCAGGACTCGAATCAGCTGTCCTCATTCCAGGGTACTGTGGCCTCCTTGGGCCCGAATCTGCTCTTCCCACTCACAGCAAGACCTCTGTTTACCTTCAGCTGCCGCGGCCCCAGCTTGGCTGCCCCATTCCCAGGAGCTGGCCACATGACTGGACACAGTACCTCGAGTGGTCTCCTCAGCAGCTCTGTCCCTTAAGGGTGCTCTTGTCC